GCCGCCGGACCAGTGGCGGCGGCTGCCCGAGCCGCTGCGCGTGAAGCTGCTGCTGCTGGCGTGCCTCGCGCGCGTGGCGGCCTGCTACGCGGAGGCGCGGCGGCCGCCGCCCGTCAGCCCCGTAAACCTACTGGTTTCTGAGTTGCTGGTCCCCGACGACGACATGAGACATCTGTGCCTCGAAATGCACGGCGGCAAGCCTGGCGCCGCGGCCGCGCCGCCGGCGCCTGCCGCGACGGGCCGCGACGCCGCGGCGGTTGCCGCGGGGCTGGCGGCGCTCCGGCGGCTGTCAGTGCGGGTCGTGGCCGCATTCGGGCGGCTCGCCGGCGCGGGGCGGGGGGAAGGCGGGGGCGTTGGCGGCGGCGGCGGTGGCGGCGGCACGGGCGACGACACGCTGTCGCTGGACGCGCGGCCCAAGCAGCACGACGACGTGGTGCAGCAGCTGCGGCAGCGGCTCGCGCGGCTCGTCGGGCAGGACAGGGACGCGATGAGGGGTGAGTCTGCGCGACACCCGCGCCCCCTGGACCGGGCTCGGAGTCCCTCCTTAAGCCAATCTTCTCGCTTCGCGCAGTGAACGGCGCAGGCCACAGCAGGCATGCGTGACTCTCGGTTAACACTGAGGCGTGCGCCCGCGCGCTCCCCCCCTCCTGTCCGGTGCCGCTGCAGACCCCGCCGCGCTGCGCGCGTGCCGCGGGCCGCTGCTGGTGCTGCACCGGTACCTGTTGGCCATGGGCAGCCCTGCGGTCGCAGACATGGTGGTGAACCAGACACAGGAGGCGCTGGCTCGGCTGGAGCATGCGATCAGGGGGGTGCAGGTGAGGGGGCCGTGCATGCATGAGTGCAACAGTGTGTGTGCGCGCACGTGTGTGTGTCTATGTGTGTGTGTGTGCTCGCACGCTTGCGTGTATGTGTGTGTCTGTGTGCGTGTGTGTGTCTTTGTGTACTTGTGCCCAGGTGCTTGCCGTCCGAATGTGTGGGCCAAAGCCACGCGAGCCTGACAGCCAGGATTGGCCTGCCTTAGTTTTGAGTGCAAAAGGGCATATTCACAGTCGCCAGGCAGACGAGGCCGCCTCAACCCCTGCTTTCATGACGTGTCCGCACCAGCACCCACACCTAACACCACGCCCACCAACCCGTCCCCCCCGTCCCCACCAAACCCCTCCAGGCGCGCCTGCTGCAGCCAGAGGCGCTGGCGGCGCTGGAAGCGCTCGCGCGCGTCTACTCGGAGCTCCTGCACCTCGGCGGCCGCAGCGGCGCGACCCGCAGCTGGCTGATGGCGCACCTCGGCTGCACCCCGGCGCTGGGCGCGCCC